CCTCCTCCTCCTCCTCCTCCTCCTCCTCCTCCAAGGGTTGAACCCAGGGATGCTTAACCACTGAGTCACATGCCCAGCCTTTGAAAATATTTTCTTTAGAGACAGTGTCTGCCTGAGTTGCTAAGTGTCTCACTATGTTGCTGAGACTGGCTTTGAACTCACAAACCTCCTGCTTCAATGTCCCAAGCCACTGGGATTACAGTCATGCACCACTGCGCCTAGCATTTGTTCTGTACATTTGAATAAATTGAAACGCAGTAGCTTGGGTGAATAGTAAAAATAAAGTTTGAATTTAGTAATTTAGAGGGATAGCCATTTTCTCTGAAATGGAAAAAACTCTACTTTGCTGATCAGTCATGGAAAAGAATCTGGTGGTGTTATCTTACCAGCTCATCTGTTGTTGAGGTACCTGGGACTGTATTTCACAAAAGCCTGCAAATAGTCAATTAGACCTAGAGGCAGAGAGGCTGTAGTAGGAACTGGAGAAGGAATATTATTATAAAAGTTAAGGTAAACAGTAACTGCATTAGATATTATCTTTTATTTATTAAAGATTTGTATTATCAATACTTTGTTTTCCATTGTTTCAGTTCTTACATTTAGTAAAAAGAAAATCCAAAATTAAGCCACAGAGTAAAATTTCCTTTTCATTTTATGATAGGTTTGTAACCAAATTATTGGAAGACCTCATCTTTTTTGTTGCTGATGTGCCTAATAATGGACAAGAAGTTCTGGATGTGGTTATCACCAAGCCGAACCGAGAACGTCAAAAACTAATGAGGGAACAAAACATATTGGCACAGGTGAATTTTGTTATGAAGCTAAATTTGCTTATTTTGTTTTTTAAATTATGGTGTCAGGAAAGTCCTTGTATTAATTATCTATTGCTGTGTTATAAATGACCCCTAGACAGACACTTTCTGAAGTTTCTGTGGATTAAAACTCTAGGAGCAGTTTAGGTGGGTGTTCTTGCTGAGGGTCTTTCAGAGTAAGTCAAGGAGTCGGGTGGAGCTGCCATCATCTCAAGGTTGAGAGGAGACATGAGAGAAGATGCACTTCCCAGCTTGCTCATTTGGGCCTCTCCCAGTGGAGTCTCCAGGGAGAGGAGGCAACTTGCTTCCCTTAGAAGTGACTGATCCAAGGGGCTGGGGATGTGGCTCAAGTGGTAGCGTGCTCACCTAGGATGTGTGAGGCACTGGGTTCGATTCTCAGCACCACATAAAAATAAAATAAAGATATTGTGTCCAGCTAAAACTGAAAAATATTTTAAAAAAAGAAGTGACGGATCCAAGAGGAAACAAGACACGACCCCCAGATAGGAGCCACAGCCCTTTATGATCTTATATTAGACATGTTATGCATTTTGCTGTATTTAGTTAGAAGAAAGTTAATAAATTCAGCCCATAGTCAAAGAGAGAAGATTCCATAGGATGTGATTATCAAGAGGCAGGGATCATCGGGGGCCGTCTCAGAGGCAGCCTACCAAAGATCTCCAAAAAACCTTTGTGGTCAGATTCTCCAGAAACTGCTGGCAAAAATGTCTAGGTAGAATTTCTAGATGAACTTGGAAAATGCCATTTCCATCCTCTTCCTACTTCTTCTCTTCTCTAGGAACACTGGTTCATAAGTACACCATACAATATTCTGAAATTTTTTCCCTGAGAGTTTAGAGCTGCTCCTTTATTGTGTCTTCCTGAAATTATTTATAATATACCAGTGAATCAGTTCATTTCCTGATAACATGCACATCTGGACATGTCCTTCTTTATATGTTATTTTTTTCCTTGTTATTTGCTACTTAAAGTAATGGGCTTTTGTGTGAATTACATATGGACTCAAGGAAGATACTTAAACATAACTAACAATTATGTTAGTAATATACATGTTCTCGTTGAATTGAGAAAGGAAAATAGACACAGTATATAGTATATATAGTCAATATTTTTCTCAAATAATGGGTTATAAATCTAATTGGAGCAAAGCATTTTCTGACATGAGCAATGCTTTTATATAAAACATTTGATTTCAAAGACGTTTGGGACCTGGTATGGATTTATTAATATTTTAACCAACATATTTTTAATTTCAATCAGATTTTTAATTTCAGTGTTATAAATATAACATGCAAAGTTTAGTAAATACACAATTATTGAAGAAATGCTATCACATTTCATGGGCTCCAAATGAGAATTTCTTTCCATTTTTCTTCTTGTGTTAATGCTCATTCCCTTGACTGCCTGTTCTTTCCTAGTGGTTTACTCATCCTACCAGCTAGTCTCCAGGTGAGCCTACCTGCTGTCTTACTCAAAGCAAATTTTATCCTCAATGCTTTCCAGTACTTCCTAACTGCTAATTTTCTTACAAACATCTGGCTCACTGGGTCCCATCAGCTGCCCATGTGGGTCCTTATTTATTATATTTTAATTCTGATACATTCACTGACTTGGTCACATCTTTGTATATCATGAACAGTGAATTTACTCTTTTAGAAAGAGTTATATTTGGGTGCTCTGGTATTCAGTGCATATATATTTAGGATTGCTATTTCCTCTTTCTGAATTGACCCTAGGAAGAGGTAAAAGTTATATTTGGAAGCAATTTTCTGATGTAAGTTTCAGATAAAAGTAAATGGTTTCTTTATATTATTTTGATTTGGGGAAGTTATAGAAAATAGTAGGAAAATACCCAAAAGCATACAGAAATTATATTTAGTTCATCTAAACATGCAGCTTGGTACAGTTGAACATCTTTCTATTTCCCAATTTAAAAACATTATTTCTAAATAAAATTTAGCATTTTATTTAAACAATATTTTTGTCATTCACTTTAGGGAACTCTTTTAGCATTGGTTTTCTGTCCCTTGAACATTCTAGTCCTGTATCCTAAGTACTTTCACCCCTTTACATTAATTCTACTCAAATGTTACAAAAGTGTTTTTGAGCCAATGTTCTTATTTGTAAAAAAAAAAAAATGATCATAAAGCATGTTTATTAGAATATGCAATTTTTTTTATTCCTGATAGGTATTTGGGATTCTTAAAGCACCCTTTAAAGAGAAAGCAGGAGAAGGCTCTATGTTGAGGCTCGAAGACCTGGGGGACCAAAGATACGCTCCCTACAAGTACATGCTACGGCTCTGTTACCGCGTCCTCAGGCATTCACAGCAGGATTACCGGAAAAATCAGGTCAGAGGTGGCCCCCATTCTTAATTCTGTTTCACATATGAAGTGTGAGCAGGGTTCTTTTCATTGCTGTTGTAAAGTGTAAGAAAGTAGGAATTAGGAATTTCACTTTGCAATGAAGTGTTTTATATTGGCAGCACAAAAATGATCTGTAAGTATTTTTGAGCCAACATAGTTATTTATTCCTCCGTATAAAATTAGAATCCCTGCTTGGGTGAGGATATCCTGAGTTCTTATGTGAACGTATTAATTTCTGGGCAGGAGGGGTATGGGGTCTATTATGTAAAGAGGAATGGAACATTTCTTGGCTTGAGGAACTTGCAAGGTACAGCCTCAACATCTGTGGTCAAGGAGTTTGTTTTCTAGTGGAAAACATGTGGCATGTGCATCTGAAGTGTAAGGGGGAGGCAGAGGGGAGCAGAGACAGAAGACAAGGATGGAAGTTCTCAAGAGGGGGAGCACAGCTGTGGCTGGGGAACCCAGGACAGATTCCTGGAGAAGAAAGCATCTGAGTAGGATAAGAATCATTCTCATAAATTGGTTAGGAAAAGCAATTTTAGGAACAGAGACCTTTGAAGAAAGAATGATGGCTGCTAGAAAGGGTACTTCAGCCCTAAGATATTCACAGCTGAGGAGGACAGGGAAGCCACGTGTGATGCAGCTAAAAATTGTTGGCTCCTAATGAAATTTCTTTCAGGTCTCATTTTATTTTAAAAGTACATAATATTTTGCATTGTGTTCAATAATGTGAATGTTTAACATAAAATTGTTTAAAATTAATTATCATTTGGAAAATTAGTTTCCATGTTTCTCTTAACCAGGAAGGCAGAATACACCACCATAAGTTTTGCTGAGGAGGTTATTCCATGAAGAATGGTGTGGGAGAGGGCTGGGGGAGGGCCTAAGTACCCCACAGCCTGTAGTGTCAGTCCTGCAGGATAGAGGTTGTTAGGAGTATTTAGTAGTATTTTAGAGTGCTCACTTTGCATTAGGCTTAGTTGTAAGCAATTTTCACAGATTAACTCAGTTTAGTTGATACTAAGATGAGGAATTGACAAACAAAGAGGTTAAATAACTTGCCTAAAGTTGGAGGTTGTTCTTTTTTTTTTTTCTTTACAGTATTGGGGATTGAATCCAGGACCTCATGCATGGTAGGCAAGTGCTCCACCCCTGAGCTCTCCCCTTAGGCCTATGGTTATCGCTCCATCATTGTGTTATTGTCTCTGGGTAGTTTGAAAGTGTTTTGGCAAAAAAGAATATGTATATTCTTTTTTGCAAAAAAAATATATAAGAATATATATATACACACACATATACATACATATATATTAGGAAGGATGTGTTAAATAAAATACATTGGCTTTGGAATTCTGTTCAAAGATTCATAAAGGTCCAAAAATATGTAAAACAGATTAGCCAGGAGATAAATAATATGGGAAAGAATGGAAGCAAGGGAACAATGTACATAAATCCTTAAATATTTTCAAATGTAACCCCAGGAATAAGCATCTTTCTTTCCAGTTGTAAATGTTATCTCTGGAATTATGCCTGCAACTTCACTACATTCCTTTAAGATGGCAAGATAAAAGTAGATAGAGTTGTTCATGTTTCATGGGAGGAAAACTCAAGATCCAGAATGTTAAATGACAGACCTTGGGCTGGGGCTATAACTCAGCGGCAGAGTGGTCGCCTAGCATGTGTGAGGCACTGTGTTCGATCCTCAGCACCACATAAAAATAAAACAAATAAAATAAAGGCATTCTGTCCATATACAACTACAAAAAGAAAAAAAAATGACAGACATTCAGGCATTCAGAGAATCTGCATTGGAGGTGCGTCCTCTTCTGAGAGTCTAAAGTCTTCAGAGGAGGTCTGGAATGAGGCTACCCAGCATATTTTACTTGTCTTTAGTTTTCTTCTTGGGTCTGAAAAAAACAGAGTAATCCCTTCTTTTCCACAATTTCATTTAATCTTCTTTCCATTACCCATGGTCAACTTTGGTTCAAAAATATTAATTGCTAGATTCTAGAAGTAATTCTAGAAATATAGACATTACTCAACTGGCTGCTCAATACATAAATCTATCATCTTAAATCACATTTATTATGATATCTTATTGTGAATATTATATGTTATTCATTATTATTAATATGTTACTATGCCTGATTTATAAATTAAACTTTTATCATAGGTGTGTATGTATAGGAAAAACAGTTTAAGTTGGGTCTGGTACTGTCCATGTTTCAGGCATCCACTGTGGGTCATGGAATGTGTCCCTTGGGGAAAAGGGGAGATTACTATGCTTTGCTAGATAGGCCACCATGCCACCCATACAAGTAGTGCTGGATCATTAGAGAATGAAATTAACAGAAAGAGTTCACAGGTCTGCAGTGTCCCTGGGGCCCTCAGTCCCATAAGGTCAGGATGTGTGCCATCTTTGAATGTGCTTAGCCTTTGGAAGGCTGCTGAGGATCCATCCTCCTGTTCTCCATCCCTGCCATGGGCTTCAGTGCCAGAGGTCCTGGGATGGGTCACTCTGCTCCTTGTGGTAGGTTCCCAGGCAGCACATCTTAGTTGGTGTCCTTTCTCTGGCATGGCATGTTCAGGTTTTCTCACTCCCTTAGTCTTAACTGCACCCAGGCTCCTTGTGTTGTGTGCAGTTTCCACTCTGAAAACATCCTCTGATGAGCAAACACTGCAAGGGCCACATATACACATGTGCACACACCTCTGCCTAATCACTTGGTTCATCCCAAGTAAGTGCTGACATGCTCTGGGGACCTGGCCTGGGTTTCTGTGCATATATGGCTGTGGGTCAGCTTTTCCTTCCTCTCCTCTCCCCAAGTTTTAGATCATTGAGCTGAGGAAGGAACGAAGAAGTCCGTGTTCGTCGAGGGTTGAATTTTATTTTCCCTCACCTGTCCCTGTGTGCTCCAGTGGGATCTCAGTGGTAGCTGAAAAACCCTTTTATTACTTCTTTTTGCATTAAGAATGCTTTATAATAAGCATAAAATAGCTTTCTGATGATTTTAAGAACAAGGTTTTTTAAATGTAGGCAAAAGGCCTACTTTTTTGCATAATTACCTCATTTTCCCATATCATCACTTGTACTTTACAGTCTGAGTTGACTCATGATTTAGTGCTCACCCTGGTCTTTAATGGTGTGTCTTTGTTTGTTATTATTTATAGAATTTGATAACCCTGTAATTTCATTTAATTATTTACCAACTTCTTGGAAGTTTGCCCGATATCAGAGTATGACTACAGTGGTCATAAAAGTGTGTAAATCAATACATATCTTTAAAATGATACACCAACAGAAGACATTTACTTTACTTAATTGGCTACCAATATACAAAGTCATCATTTTGAAAGACCACAAAAATGCTGCCTAGAACATAATTAGATTTGTGCAAACCAATACCATTTTCAAGGAATAGATATATTCCAGTAAATTTTGCCTGAGGCAAAACCACTCTCTAATCAATACATTCTCCCATCTTAGAAACAGAGATGCCTTCCCAAGGAGAATACCCAGGAACTGGAAAACATTTGATGTAGAAGGTTTCATCTCACTAGTTCTATTGTTATGTGAGATGTGTTGCTTATACACACAATGTTAAAAATGAGCAATAGTGATTGGGAGTATAGGAGAGTTAGTGTGAAGAGTAAGGAGCAGAATAAGTAAAGTTTAATTGAAACTCCTGTGGCTTTCTCTTGTTCTTAGTTTTTGCTCTTTACGATAACTCACAAGGACTCCTTTTTTGACTTACCTCTCCAACTCCAGCTGTTGCTTTCCCCTGCTTACTTCCCTTTCACTGCAATGGCCATCTCTTCTTTGTAGAACACAAGAAGTTTAGTTCCACTACCACAGGGCCTTTGCACTTGCTTCTTTCACTGCCTAGAGGGCTTCTCTTCAGGTCTTCCCCTGGCTGCCTCCTTTTGATCATTCCATCCTTGTGCCCATGTCCTTTCTTTGGCATCTCCCATCTAAAGTTGCCACTTTTCTCCATCCTTCTGTTTTTTGCATTTCACTTATCAACATGTGAAATGAGAGTATATTTGTTTGCTCACAGGGATGAAAGCTTCATGATAGCTTATCTGTCTTGTTTACAGCCATACCCCTAGTCTCCCAATCAGTGCCTGGAATGTTTGAGGCCTCTAAGAAATTTTTACTGAATGAATGGATCTGATTAGCAACATGGTTGATTACATTATCTTATTTGGTTGCAGTGTGTGTGTGTGTGTGTAGTACTAGGGATTGAACCCAGGGCCCCATGCATGCCAGGCAAGCATTCTACCACAGAGCTACATCCCCACCCCAGTTTACATTTTAATGATAAGAAATTACTAAGTTTTTACAATTATTTTAAATAAAAGAACTTATAGATCATTGTAGTTTATATACAAGAAAGAAATCAACCCAGATCCATCTACAGTCTTCAGGTAGATGGATAGATCTCATGTCTCATGAATGAAATATCAAATAGTTATTTTCTTTTTCATCATCTTGCCAAAATCACTGGTCATGGCTTTTGGGAAAACTCAGAGAAAGAGCCTCTGTTAGGCTGATGAAATCCTAAGTTACCAAGTTGTAAAGATTTGTTATTTTAATTATATTTATTTTTGGTTTTCTCACAAGAGCTTAAGCATGCATATTAAAAATCATTTTAGCAATGTATTTTTCATCATAATTTAAATTATATTTATATTGATATGTTTTAATTGCCTTCCTCAAAAAGCTCTATTTTTTTGAAGAAATATTTACTTGCTTCTCTTTTGACAAAACTTTTAGAAAGTTTTCTGTTGTGAATGAGTTACCCGTGTTGGTAGCCCTGAGAGGACCTTGATTTCTGAGCTGTATGGCGGCACATTCTGACAGTCTTTCCTCTTTGCAGGAGTATATTGCTAAGAATTTCTGTGTCATGCAGTCCCAGATTGGCTATGATATTTTGGCAGAAGATACTATCACAGCTTTGTTGCACAACAACAGAAAACTACTAGAGAAACATATCACAGCAAAAGAAATAGAAACATTTGTCAGCTTACTCAGGAGGAACCGGGAGCCAAGGTTTGAAGTGGTTTATGTAGCGTTCGTTCTTTTCTAGTGGGGACCGGGGCTTTTGGTTTTATTTTTAGAAATTTTAAAAGTTAGAATTCTTTGGTAGCACTAACTTTCCTGGACAAATTCTGTTGGGTTTATTGGTATATAGTTATTTCTTTGTTAGAGATCAAAACCCTTTAGAAACTGATCATTTGTTTATTTTTACCCTGCTGGGACTTGAACCCAGGGCCTTGCACATGCTGGGCAATGCTCTGTCACTGAGTTACATCCCAGAACTAGACTTATAATTTAATGTACTTAATTTTCCTTCTGATAACCTATATATAGCTTTCAAAATATATTCATATACATCATCTCATTTAAAATCTTGCACATTCTCATGAAGAATACTGGTTATCTTTTATTATCCACATTTTTGTGTGTGTGTGTGTTGAGAATTAAATACAGAGTTTTGCTTATCTAGTGCACATACTCAACCACTGAGCTATATTATCCACATTTTTGAAATGAGAAAACAGAGCAGTATGCCCAAGAATGCCCTGATAGGAATAGAATACGAAGTAAAAGTAAATCTGGGGATTATGGTTCTGCTTTGATTTCGCCATACTGCTTCATCTGAGGGAAATGAACATTGGCAATGTTTTCTTAACTAAGTAGTATAGCAAATAAATACTAGAAAGTAGAACTGGTCCTCTCTCTGGACCAGGTCATGGTCACTTTCATGAAGCATGTGCTATGTCCTGTTTTATTCAGTCCAGCCTTAGCTTTGATCTGTTTTGTTTTGATATCAATCCTGGGGACTGTCACTTTAAGGCAGATAAATGATTTTATAAACATAAGTCACCATGCTGAGGAAAGAATGTCACCAAATAAATAGAAGTAAACATATCCTTTATATTCAATGAAGGTTTGTATTAAATGAAAAGCATGGAGTGTTTAATTTGTTTCTAATGATGCAGTAGAGAGGCAACACATTAGAAAAATGTCACATGGAAAAATTATTAAAAATATAAAAATAAGTTTCTTGTTATATTCCAAATTATATTTTCATTGTAATGATTTCGTAAAATGCTTCGCCTTCATGTTCCATTTAATTTTTCTTCTCTTGCCAGGTTTTTGGATTATCTGTCAGATCTCTGTGTGTCTAACACCACTGCCATCCCTGTCACTCAAGAACTCATCTGTAAATTTATGTTGAGTCCTGGCAATGCTGACATTCTCATCCAAACTAAGTAAGGCAGATAGATCATGGAGGCATTTTTTTCTGTTCATTATTTTTAAAGTTCTGTAGGTTTTTTTTTTTTATTTTTTAAATCATAGTTGTAAGCGTGCTTCCTGATAGATTTTTGCATGTTCCTGATTTCAAGGCTGGTCTCCATGCAAATAGACAACCCCATGGAGAGCTGCATCCTACCAGACGACTTAGATGACGAAGAAGTCTGGCTGTACTGGATTGACAGCAACAAGGAGCCTCATGGCAAAGCTATTCGGCACCTGGCTCAGGAAGCAAAGGAAGGCACCAAAGCTGACCTGGAGGTCCTTACCTACTACAGGTGAAGTACTATAGAGTCATAATTCACTCTTTCACATACTCATCGAGAGTGGATTCTCTGAAACCTCTAAAAGTTAGGTCTGTGTGAAGAGGAGATTTTAAAAGTCATTCCAGAACTAGGGTAGCTGAAATGTTTAGGACTAACTGCGTCAAATAGTCAAAAGGAAAGTTGGCGTCTGTGTTTTCCATGTACACCATTTGCCGTTCCCCGAGTTTCCTCTAGATTGGAGTTTTGTGTGTGGAGGTTTCTTTCTGTTTTCAAGTAGAGTGGGAGACAAGTTAGGATCCAGGGCACAAATTGAGAGAGCAGTGGTACCTGGGCTGAGGAAGCTGACCTCACTGTGGGGTGGCCACAGAGGAGGGCAGCCAGTAGTTTATACCAGCACTCTTTAATACCTGCTGACCTGGGCTTTGGAGAAACTGGTGTCTGTAGTTATGAAAACTCATCGATGTACAGCAGAAGTACTGAAGGTCGTTCCCAGTGTCAGTGTGTTGGGGACAAGATCCTAACTGGCATCTTTGAGCTTAAGGGATGAAAACAGAAGCAGCAACCCAGGGACCAGTTTGGCCCCAAGAGGCAGGAATCAGAGAAAGGCAGAAAATGCCTTCCTTCCCTGGTTTCTACAGCTACAGCAACAAACCCGTGGCTGACTCTTCATCTCAGAGGCTGATGAATCCAAGTACTGACACTGTTTGAACTGATCACATTTGGTTTGGGAACTGTGGGAGCAAACTTGGCGTGTAGATTCTAGAGCCCCCGGCTCAGGAGGCTGGGGATGGGGCGAGATGGTGTCATGTGACTTGTGCTCCCTGGCTTTCCAGCCTAGTGTCTTTGTAATCCCAGGAAACCTGGAACACAGTGACAACCTGGGCCAGACACACGTCACTGGAACAAAGAGGAGAAATTATAATAAAGGGGCAGAGAGACAATCTCATGTCTGTGTCCTTATTTATCACTTGAACTTCCACTCACAGAGTTTGACTCAGTATCACAAGCACTTGGAAATACAGAGATCATCAAAATAGACATCATTTTTTACTATGAAGTTTAGGAGGTTTATCAAGATGAAATCAACAATGTAATATGTCTCATATTTTTAAGGTACCAGCTAAACCTCTTTGCAAGGATGTGCTTGGATCGCCAGTATCTGGCCATAAACCAGATTTCTACACAGCTATCTGTAGATCTGATCCTGCGGTGCGTGTCGGATGAGAGCCTCCCGTTCGACCTCCGGGCATCTTTTTGTCGCCTCATGCTCCACATGCACGTTGACCGAGACCCTCAGGAGTCTGTGGTGCCTGTTCGCTATGCCAGGCTCTGGACGGAAATCCCCACAAAGATCACGATTCATGAGTACGTTGGGAAACATTTCTCAAGACTATAAATTTAGCAGTTGAACTCAAAATCAATTGTCTTTAATTTTGAGATGAAATACAATGGAAAGGCATGTGTGTATCCTAACATTGTTCATCTTCCAAGTGCAAATTAGATTATTTATTTATTTATTTATCGGTACCAGGGATTGATCCCAGCATGCTTAACAACTGAGCCATGTCCCCAATCATTTATATATTTTATTTTTTGAGACAGGGCTTGCTAAGTTGCTGAGGCTGACTTTGAACTTGGGATCCTCCTGCCTTGGCCCTTTGAGCCACTGGGATCATAGGCTTGTTATATTCTTTTTGAGAACAAAATGACAATTTTCAGTGATAATAGAAACATCTTTCTGGAAGCCAGTATGCAGAAATAATAAGAATAATGATAAGCTAAAAGTTTGATATTATAGTTCACTCTGATTTAAGTACTTTGTATGTGTTCTTTCTCATTTCACAATGACCCCGTTTTATAGATGCAGGATGATACCTGGAAGGGTTAATTGATTTAACAAAGTCTTCAAGTGAGGAAGTTAAAGTACATAGTTTTCTGTTTTTTAATTATTATAATCAGTTTAACTTGCCTTATCTTCTGTCTTTCCAGATATGATTCTATAACAGACTCTTCCAGAAATGATATGAAGAGGAAATTTGCACTAACGATGGAATTTGTTGAGGAATACTTGAAAGAAGTTGTAAATCAGCCCTTTCCTTTTGGGGATAAAGAAAAAAACAAACTAACATTTGAGGTATTTTTAAATGGTTACTCATAAAGTAATTAAATGTTCCCTGTCAAAAATTAGATACATTAAGCATCAAAGATTTTTTTTCCCTTTGGTATTTAGGGTGTTTCGGTAATTGGATAGTTTAGTTCATGACAGCATGATTCTCTGCATTGATAAAATATAGATTTGGTACTTTGATGAGATATCAAAATACTTTAATATCTATTAATTACTGTTTCCCTTGATTTTTTTGAATATGTTATCTTTGTTACAGTTGATAAATGAGGATACTTTTTCATACTTTATGTTTGGATGCTTTTTTTTTTCCCCTTATCTTCACAGAGGTGATATTTTTAGGCTCATTTTACTGAATTGAAATGTCTCCAGTGATGATATCAATTTTGGAATGATGCAAACCTAGAGGATTCTGTTACAGGATACCTAATGTATTAGCTCCCTATTGGTGTGTGACATATTACCCTCAAACATAGTAGCCTAAAACAAAAACATTCATTTATTGTCTTACAATTTCTATGAGTCAGGATCCTGGGAGTAGCTTGGTAGTTGTGGTTCAGGGTCTCCCAAGAGGGAGCAGTCAAGATGTTGAGCGAGATGGCAGTCATCTGGGCTAGATGGTCTGCTGCTCGTGATTATTGGTAGCCATGCTTTCTGGCTGGCTTTTGACTAAACACCTCAGCTTCTTCTTTCTGGGAGCTGACTGTACCCATGACATGTCACTGGCTCCCTGCAGGGCAAGGCAGGACAAAGAGGACTCCAAGATGAAAGTTGCAGTCTTCTATCATCTGATCTTGGGAGTGGCATGTCATCACTCTGCTGGATTCTGTTGGTCACAGAGACCAATCTATACAATGTGAGAGGACCCTGTACAGTGGGGGCCACATCCTGGAGGCTGCCTCTCATACTTGCTGTGTCTCATAGTATGCAGAAGACTGCAAAGCAGAATAAGGAACATGTATTTATGGGCAAGTTTCATGGATAATATTTATTTACTGAAGTAATTAGTTTAACCACTTATTAAGTAGTATCTTACTGACTTAAATGAGCTAATATTCAATAAAGAGGTAATAATTCAAATAAATAATAAAATAAATATTAAATAATTCAAAATAAATCAAAATTTAAGCGTTGCTTTTACAGGGATTTTAACTCCTAGGTATTAAAGAATTATAAAGTTTAGCAATATCTGAACTAATTCAGATTTTAAAATACCAGTGTTCCTAATGTTCTTCTTTTCATTTCTGTCTTCTTTACCATGCCCCCCCTTTTTTTATTAAGGTGGTTCACCTGGCTCGGAATCTTATATACTTTGGATTTTATAGTTTCAGTGAATTATTAAGGCTGACAAGAACACTTCTGGCCATCCTAGATATTGTACAGGCCCCCATGTCATCGTATTTTGAAAGATTAAGCAAATTTCAAGATGGAGGTAAGAACTTCTGAGACATATTATAATATTTTTTTATTACATTGAAGTAAAATAAAAAACAAGTCTATAGAGCAGTGGTTGATAACATGCACTTTCTCATACACATGCACAATACGTATGAAAAGTAATCTTGTGACCTGGCAGGTGGTAATGAGGGATTCACAAGTATGCTTCTTTGTTTTAATGCTATAGTTTCAAAAGACAAACTTATAAGATCGAATTCCATCTTTAGCAATGAATGTTATCACCGATCCCCCAGTGAAAATGTTATATGTTAAAAGAATAAAAGCGTCTTACTCTTTGTGATCATTGTGGTATGTATCATAGGGTTTGGAACAGGGCATCGGCAGATGCAAGGAGGTACTGGCTAAGGTCTTCCTAAGGGAGGCTGAGTGCACAGCTAGAGTGGGTGGCAGTGGCTGAAGTGGAGGAGAGGGCTCTGGAGGCAGAGTGCCTGGGTTCCCTTCCTGCCTGTGGCATTATAACTTATTTTCTCTTTGATTTTCTTTTCTCACTTGAGATAGAAAAATGACAATTATAGAATTATAGTGTCTTTCTCAGAGTTTTCTTATGAGAAGAACATATCGATGTATTCAGTAAACTACAACAGCGGTTGTCTCATAATTCAGTAAGTCTTTTTAGAAGGGTGATTGCCTTAGGTTGAGTATTGAAAGTGCCCTGAGATGGAGAACTTTTTGTGGGAAGCTTATTAAGGGGTGTTCTCAAGATATACACCTGTAGGGAAGTGAGAAAGGTAGGTTTGTGCAGATCAGAGGGACCAATGTGCAATGCTTGAGACCTCAGCTGAGCTGGAATGGCCCTATGGGGTTGTCACAGATTAAGGCCAGGAGCCCAGTTTCTATCTTAGTGTCAGCCAGCCAGTGGCTGCTGGCTTCTCATGGAGTAGGGTGTACTGGGTAAGTAGCACTGGGTGAGTGTGCCGTGGCCAAGAGTAGTGCTTAGTGCTCACTCCGCCCTGAGCAGGCAGCAGCCATGATACCTCTGCACTTCCCACTGGGGAAGAGGTGCCTCAGCTCTGAAGCAGGGTAATAGGGGAGCACAATAGCATCCCCTGCAATAGTCACTGCAGGAGGAAAAGGGGGAACCAGAAATCTAATTTCAGACATTAGGAAGAAATATCTAATTAAGAATTATAAATGAGGTACTTACAGATAATCCAGAGTAATTAATTGCTGCTGCCTAAATCTCAATCCCTTTTATATCTTCCAAAAAACTGCATAGATCAATAAGAAGCAAATTAAATCACATAAATCCTTCACCTTCAGCATCACTAGAGGCCAGTGGACAGCACAAACTTGAGTTACTGTAAATGGAAAAGTAAATATCAGTTTTCAGTAGAGCTACCTCATGAGCTCCCACTACAGGCCACAGTCAGGGTCTCTGGAAAAAAACAAAAGAGATAAGAGGGTATTGTGAGAAAATCACCCTCAGAAAGAGACGGTGTAAAAATACTGAAAAACAAAACAAAACAAAACAAAATCCAGTAGATATGAGCACTGACTAAAGAGAAAAAGGGACTTAAAAGTATACAGGTAGCAGTTCTGGAGCTTTTAGGGGTGAATGAGCTTAGAGATAGGGAGAAGCATCTTTTGGAGTCTTATATGTGAAAGGAAAGGAATCAAGATAGGGTCACCTGGAATAGTACATGATAAAAGTAAGCCAAGAAGTTGAAAGAGATAAACCTCCTTCATTGCCCCCCACCCCTGAAAGCCACTTTAAAAAACTGCACTTCATGATTCTGACAGAAGAGGGAGCTCTTGAACCAGAGATTTTGTGAACCAGTTCCTATTGTCAGCCTGCCCACAAAATGCATAGATGTCATCAGTGTTCACCTGTATGACCCAAAGAGAATGGAAGTTAAAACACTTGAGTCAATGACACTTCCTCTTTGAAAAGCAACCAGGAAGCATAAGAATGTTGTAACATGATACTCCAATCGAATTTAAATTTCTTCACAAACATTGGGCTATGATAAACAGTGTGAGACAGGAATTCCAAAACCAAGGTCAGAAGTGGACCAAAAAGCAGGAAGAAATACAATGAAAATTGATTGAAGTCAGGAAAGAAATAGAATTTTATTTTCAGACATACAGACTACATTGTAAGGTGTCCAAGGGAGAATAGGTTTGAATGAAAATGTAATAAGGGGCATTGAAGAAAGTCAGGAGAACAGTGAAGAGAGTGATGATGATACTAAAAAACAAGCCTCAAAGGTGAGAGAGAAAGTGGAGGCATAGAAGACAGGCAAAGAGGAGCCACTACATGAACAACTGGAGTCCCTGGAGTAGAAAAACAGAGCAGTGGGGGGGCAGGGTACAATTTAAAATGAAAGTCTAGGGAAACATTCTGGAAGTAAAAGGCAATCTGAATCTACAGAGTGAAATTGTCCAGCATGGTAATGTCTGAGACACATAGTATATATTCAGAGGGAGTTGTGGGGACTGAGGCATGGGCAATGAAAGCATATGGAGAAAAAAGGAAAAGGTTACAGGACTGTTCTTTTCTATTCCTGCATCTTTCATGTGTGTTTACATTTTTTTTTTACTTAAAAATTTTTTAAAAATATTTTTTTAGTTGTCAATAGACTTTCATTTTATTTTTTAATTTCTATGTGGTGCTGTGAATTGAACCCAGGCCTTCCCATGTGCTAGGCAAGAGCTCTACCACTGAGCCACAACCCCAGCCCTGTGTGTGTAAAATTTTACAAAAATAAGAGTCTGTGAACAACGTGCAAATGAGAGCAAAGAAAAGAACTGCAGTGGTCATTTGAAGGGCAGGGACATGCAGGTGGCCTGCTAATTCTGCCACCTGACTCTCACCAGTGAGCGACTCTTTTAGCAGTTGTAGAGGGTGTGTGCTAGTCAGGATGGCCATATCAACAGAGCCTTCCTGTTGTGATGTGTTGGCAATCTCCAGTTTAAACTCAACTATTCTTAAAAAGGTAGAAATTGATCCTGACTTTTGGTTTCAGTTTGATAGACTGTATATAGGGTTTATCCTAAAGAAAAGCATTTGTTTTCCCTTCTGAAAATGTGCTGATATCTTGTTTGTGTTTTCCACTGTCTTGTCTGCCCTGTAAGACATGTAAACTTTTATTGTGGTGCTAGAAATTAAAGCCAGGGCCTCATCCATGCTGAACCTATACTCTGCCACTGAGATATATCCCCCAGCCCTTATACAGTTATTATTTTTTTAAAGTAATAATTCTCATCTTTTCTAATGAACCCTATTCACTTCTGGATATCTTAATCATCTTTCTTAAATTTGACAACTGTCTATTAATTATTCAAGAGGAATCTTGAGCCACCTCTGCATGCAAACACTGTTCTAGTCTCTGGAATTATCCAGGAACAAGACAAGCGAAGTCCTTAGCCATAGAGAGGACTATTAATGGATAAGTTGACAAAATTGCCCCTTGAGAGAAGCTATCAGATAATAAATGAATATATGCTGTGACATTGATAATGCTGTGATATGGAGGAGATGGGCAAGGGAGGGACCTGGTTTTGTTCTGAGTGATGAGCAACCTTCAGAGGGAGGGTTTGATGTGACCTGATCACTTTGGCTGCTCAGTGGACAATAAATGTCAATCTGGGCAAAAATGCCAGCATCATGAAAGGTAAAGGAGGGCTGAAAGTGCTCCAGAGTAGAGGGGATTAATTGAGATGACCATTAAATGCCCTGTGGAAGCTGGATTGGGTCTTGAATCAGGACAGATATTCTCTGTTGAAGGCATTAGGGGTATTATAGAGCTGGGGCCTTCCAAGAAACTGAGGCAACACGAAGACCCACCTTCAAACCTTGATTCTTGTGACCAAGTCAGAAAGATTTCAGACATGTTGCTCCGAGTAACAGGAATGTGTTTATTGAAGGGGTAAGGAAAAGGGAAGGGAGTTGCTCTCAAGAGAGAGAGTGGGTCCTCTCAGAGAGGAGGACAGTGTGCCTCTCCTGCACTCCAGTCTTACCGGGGGTCCCAGGGAAGTTTCCAGAGAATCCCGCCAAGGTCCACGTCTTGACTTTTGACTAACAGCAGGGTAACATCAGACTTTCAAGTACCCACTGTTATGACAACTCTAGGTCACCTTGGCCCAGGCTGACCAGTTCTAATTGGATTTTTAACCAAATATTCTTACATATTTTGTGGTCAGGAGGAACTTTCCTTATGTCCCAGATTTTCAGGATCTGGTCACAAAAGTCTCCTGGGTTCCTCCCATTGACATTATCTTGGGCCTGCATTTCTCCTGCAATTAATAGGTAGTTTGCTGAGGAATGTGACATATCCTTAGGCCAGGCAGGGCTACAGATAAATTGCTTCTTGAAAAAAAATGTATGTGGGGTCAGCACAGTGGGCCCATTTTATAGAATTATTTTCTTAACCTCACGTTTCCACCATCCTCATCTGTCTGTTCCCCAACAGTGGCACAATTGATAAAATGTGAATATGATTTTTGTTAGTGGTAGTACGGTATCATTTAGATTTCCTGAATTTTTAAATTGTGCTGTGGTTATGTAAGAGAATGTACTTATTTTTAGCAAGTACATGCTGAAGAATTGAGGTTTGAAAAGTCATGATGTCTGGAACTAACTCTTAAACAGTGCAGGAAAAATTTGTGTGTACATGTGTGGAGGGAGGGAGGGAGGGAGGAAGGGAGAGAGGGAGGGAGGGAGGGAGAGAGACTGACACCAATGCTGTAGAATTTGTGCATCTAATCTATTTGGGCACAGGGTCTATTTGTACAGGGTTCTTTGTACTGTATTTGCAGCTATTTCCATAAATTTGAAAGTTTTTAAAAACAACAACATAAAGTAAATAACTTAATTAACCAGGTAGGAGAAGGATTCATGTTATGCAAGGTGACACGTCAAGCTTAAATAATTACCTTACAACTCAACCAGGAGGTGTGTTGTTATAGCTGTATTCTATTAGACTATAAATCCTAGCAAAAGTTCTAGTAGACTCTATAAATTCTTAACAAAAG